AGCCTCAGCTCGGAGCTGCAGGGTCAGGAGCCAGGGCGTGGCACATGGACCAGGTGATGAAGAGCTTGGCCTCAGAAGCCAATTGGCCAGATTCAAACCACTGCTCTTGTGGCTGCCACTTGCCAGCAGGGGACCTGGAGCCAGCTCAGGACAGTTTCCCAACGCTGTCAGTCTGCCCACCTGTGAAATGGGGCTGACAGGTGTGACTGCATTCAGGGCCCACCCGGATCACCCAGGTCCATGGCGCCAGCTCTGATCCCTAATGTAATCACCTCTGCAATCCCTTTGCTCATATAAGGCAACAGTCACGGGTTCCAGGATTAGGATGTGGCTCTCTCAGGCCATTACTCAGCCTCCCACGGGCTGTCCCAAGGAATACAGGGGAGCGCGCTTGCTTTCACCCTCAATAGTAGGGTTACCTCTTAATTTCCACAGTAAAACTAGGAAATTAAACAGTAGTTGCAAATAATTCTTCACAGTCCTCCTTCCCCACCCACAGGAGGCATAGCTTTATCAGTTTCATGGTTAATATGCCTGTGCCCAACCGGTCTGGCTAAGAAGGGCCATATATAAATGGAATCCCAGAAATCATAGTGACCACAACTCAGAGATACAACTATGAAATTCGCTTGATCCTCACCCAAAGCCCACAAGGCAGACGCATTTATTATACCTACCTTTTCGATGAGCGGAGCAGAGTGGTTAGGTAACTTGCCCTGGGTCACACAGCTGTGAGTGGCAGAGCCAGAACGCAGGACAAGGGACCCGTCCCTCCCACCCTCCTCTCTCTCTGGATTTGCAGACTCATCACCAGGAGTGACTCCGATTTACTGATACAGCAGCCTTGCCACCCACCACCTACCCCTAAAAACCGAGCTTTGGTCCGTGAGCTGATGAAGCAGATGCTCCTTTAGGGCTGAAAGACAGACTCCAGAGGGTGCATTTACTTCTGTCTCGGGCAGGGAAACAAGGAAATGAGGAGCAATTAGGGAACGCACTTCAGGGCCCGCCAGGTCGCTGCAGCTCAGGCTCGCTCACACTGCCTCACAGCTGCCCTTGGACTTCCCTCGGCCTCCAGGGCTCAGAGGTCGAGGTGGGTGAGGAAGCAGATGGGCAGAAAGGGATGACGTGGGCGACATGCCCTTGGGGCCCCTGGGGCGGAACGGGGGGGCATCGTCAGCACCCTGTGGCCTGTTGGATGAGCCGCAGGGTTTTGGTGGTGAGCCAGCCCGTCTGCTGAAGGGGAGAGTTGGTCGCCCCACATATTTCTGTAGCGAGCTCATGCTGTTGTTCTGATGAGGTCTCACACGTAGGCGCTGGCTAAGGCGGTCCATCAGAGAAAGCTAAACTAATGGGCCTAAAGGGACACACTGGGCGTCCAGTAGATGCTTCTGGGTTGTGAATTGCACAAATCACGGGCATATTGACCACGAAATGGACAAAGCTTCAGCCCGGATCTGTCCCTTCCCTGTGGGGCAGAGAGCTGTAGGGCGGGGAGGGGCGCTAGCTGGGGAGGGCGGAGGGACGGGTGAGGGGTGGGCAGTCCCGATCAGGACACAGCGCGTGTAAGTGTGCAATCACAGAGGTAAGGGCCCCGAGTCTTCAGGGCACCAGAGATTTGCTGATATCTTTTCTCATTCTGCATAAACAGTCACGCTCCTGCCTGATTCTGTATTCATAGTTTGGTTCTCTCTCTTTTTAAAAAAAATATATTTTATTGATTTTTTTTTTTACAGGGAGGAACGGAGAGAGATAGTTAGAAACATTGATGAGAGAGAAACATCGATCAGCTGCCTCCTGCACACCAGCTACTGGGGATGTGCCCACAACCCAGGTACATGCCCTTGACTAAAATCGAACCTGGGACCTTTCAGTCCGCAGGCCGACGCTCTATCCACTGAGCCAAACCGGTTTTGGCAGTTCTCTTTTTTCTTAAAAATGGTCCCCCAAACTGTCTAAGCGCCAGGCCCCACTGAACCTGGGTCCTTCTTGGTCCCAGGAGAAGTAAAACATTACGAAGAAGGATTTTTCCAAACTCATCACCTTCATGCCAAGAACAGCTCTGGGGAATATTCTTTCTGAGACGAACGTCAAGGGAAAGAATATGGAAACGGACAGATGCACAGATTTCATCCGAAAGCCCAGCCCCAGGGAAATTCCATGATGCTTTTTACGTTTTATGAGCGTGCTTTCGGACCCGCCTTATGAGTTCCCGTGACCTGGAGCATGGGGGCCCGTCCTCCCTGAGCCCTTGAGTTACAGCTGCCCCCCCCTCCTTGCCAGGCTTACTTGTAGACTCCAGAAGGACTGGGGCATGGGTTGTCCCCCTCCACGTGCTCTCAGCTCCCCACGTCCCAGGAAGAGGATCCAGGCCCCCACTTAGCAGGAGCAGCTGAGGTGCCCAGCTCCAGGCTCCATTCCCCCTGCCCCCCGCCCGCGTGCTGGGAGACGCCCCCTCCTGTGTCCCAAGGCCAGACCTGCCTGAACATTCAAAGCAGGGGTCCTCAAACTTTGTAAACGGGGCCAGTTCACTGTCCCTCAGACCGTTGGAGGGCCGGACTATAGTTTTAAAAAAAACTATGAACAAATTCCTATGCACACTGCACATATCTTATTTTGAAGTGAAAAAACAAAACGGGAACAAATACAATATTTGTATTTGCATGTGGCCCGCGGGCCGTAGTTTGAGGACCCCTGATTCGAAGGATGGAAAACAGTGCTTCTCTCTAAAGCAGCGGTTCTCAACCTTCCTAATGCCGCGACCCTTTAATACAGTTCCTCATGTTGTGGTGACCCCCCCAATTTCATTGTGCCAATTGAACATAATTAAAGCATAGTGATTAATCACAAAAACAATATGTAATTATACATGTGTTTTCCGATGGTCTTGGGCGACCCCTGTGAAAGGGTCGCTCGACCCCCAAAGGGGTCGTGACCCACAGGTTGAGAACCGCTGCTCTAAAGCCTCGATCACTTGGTTCCTGCTTAGTTTGCACATGGAGAGACCACAGACAAGCTACAGCAGCAACCAGGTTGCCTGGGTGATCCTGCACTTTGCAGACGTGCCGAGGCATGACAGTGGCAGTGTCTAATGCAGCTGCATGACACACACATCGTGCCCTTGCTTAGGGGATGTTCCGGGGGTTTGCTCCGGCTTGCAAAGCCGGCTGCTTCTGGTTACCCACTACAGCTGGGTAAAACCTGTCCTCCACCTGGTCTCCGGTCTTCATAAACACTCACAATGATAATAAAGAGAGCAACCGTGCTTGGGGGCCTACTCTGTGGTTGGATGTTATTACACTTAATTCCTACGACGCAGCGAGGCAGCTGTCAGCATCCCCATTTCCCATAACAGGTAAACCGAGGCCACCTTTTTGAAGGCCATGCCCTGTCCTCAGTCTTCTCATCTGCAAATTGGGAATAAGAATAGGTATCTCATAGGGTGGTGTGGGCTCGCATGAGATGCTGTGTGTATGGCAATGGCACCCGGCCTGATCCTCAAGGTCATGTTGCTGGTGAGAGGCAAGACCAGGCCTTTGTGACACTAAGCCTGTGTCCTTTCCTACCATCCCCCTCCTGGTGAGCTCTTGCTGAACTTCACGGTGCTTAGTCATGTCTGCGTTCTGCTCGCCTTATTTCAGCAGGGGCGGGACTTTGCCACTGTCATCGCTGTCACCCGAAATAGGCCTCATGCTTTGCTTTTGTGCCGTTTATTCTTTATTTGGGAGAGTCGATAAGATGTTCACGCTGCAGGTGGCGCATTTGAGATGGCTCTTGTAGGAGTTCTGTAGGTGGAGACGGCTGTCATGTCACATGGACTGAAGACTTAGAAACATCCTAGGAACGATAGTAGGGTTACCTCGGAAATGAACACACTAACTAGGAAGTCTCATCTAGCCTGGAACTGAAGCGAGGGTTTAAACAGGCACTGAGTGACAATGACGATTATTGAGAAAGGCATCTATCACGTCAACTCATGTGGGTCGAGGAAGTGGTTTTGTTTATGAAAAAATTCTCTAATGTGGACCCGGGGAATGAATTCCTGGGTCTTGATTGGAACCCAGGGGACAGATGAAATGGCCGGGCTCCATCCTTCCACAACCCCCCTGTGTAGAGCGGGAGGGGACACCGTCTCCCCAAACCAGTGCAGGTGGAAGACACAGCAGCAGTGGGAAGGATGCTATGATGCCCCCCTTTTCCTTCCCCCCTCTCCTGGTTGCTTTGGGAAGGGCAGGGGAGCACACCAGAGAGCCACGGGTGCCCAGCTACCAGTAAACGTGAATGCTTACAGAGCAACTTGTCCCCATCTGGAAGTGGCCCCCAATTTGCCGCATTTGGTTTTGGATGTGGTAGCCCAGTTGCTGTCATAGCTGGAACCCCACGACTGTCAGCTCCGCTTGAGGAAGCTCCTGCCCTCCCGCCTGCCTCCCCATTATGACTGCTGCCCTTTCTCCTGACTTTCTCTGCGGCTCCGGTCCAGGGCGACTGACGTAGCTCAGGACTTCGCAGTCTTCCCATCAGACTCCCCAGAGAGTTCAGCAGTCCCAGAGTCGTGGCCTCCAGTAGCCTTGGGAACTAGAGCCTGGCCCAACTATTTTCTCAAATAAAAATAAATGTTAATATAGTGTTGTTTTTAAAATCTGGCAGGAGGCCTGCTGACCTAGTCAGCCACTTGCCCTTCCCCTGGCCTTTCATAAAGCCCTGGTCTGAAGCAGTTTAAGTGTCACTTTAAACAAGTATATCAGTTACCCCCACCGCCCCCCACCCCAAGCTGGAAGGCTGCAGAGGCCTCGCTCTCTTGGGAGAGAAATCTCAGCTTTTAAAATGCTCCGAGACCTGAGCAAAGAAGAGGTGTTGGCTCAAAAATAAAAAGAAAACTCCAAAATCAAAATGAATGAATATAGAACCAAATGTTTACAAAACCACGACTCAATGACTCACCTTTATGTTAATAGATACTTTATTCGGCACAGAATTCACGATAATAAAAGGAAACATGCAAAAACGTTAGCAAAAAAAATTCGTTTTTGGGGTGGATTTTAATATGTTTGATATGAGGTGAAAGTCCCCAAAAGTAGAAACGCCGAGAGTCCCCAAACCCTGCCGCCTGCCCTTGCCTGAGGGGACCTGGAGCAGGTACTGAGAGAAAGCCGGGACCAAAAGCTACCAGGTGTCATTCACCACGGATGTGAATACCTTATAAACATGTGCGTCTTCCTCAAGGCAGCTGACTTCCACCCGGGACAGGACACCCCACAAAGGACAGTCATGCGGTTACTTTATTCACATGGGGGTGGGGTGGGGGAGATGGGAGATGAGGTGATTGTCAGCTCAGTTGTATGTTGGACCTGAATTCAAGTGACCCAAGTTGGTACTCAGCACTCCCCCAACACTTCCACTAGGGGGCAGTGCAGACTCAAAACGCCCTCTGCTCCCCACGGTCTGAATTCTCTTGAGATACAGTCTGGGGTGACCACGTGAAATTTTCTTTGAGAATTGGGGTTTTATCTTAAAAATGATTGTGGATATTGCTTTCTCCTGCATAACACGTCTACATTTAATATAGAGGTAATTTGGAGACCTTTTCACCAATAAGAAAATTTAACACTAAGAATATCGGCCCTGTTTGATTTGCCAGTTGCTCCATCACAGACCTGGGGGTGTGGCATCAGAGTTGGAGGAAACGCATGTGTAGGAACACCCCAACCCTGACCCGTAATCAGCTTGACCCAGCCAGGTGACATCCTGCTAATGTGCCTTCTTCCCAACCAGAAGGCCTCCATCTTCTACTCAACCATTGGCTGACTCAGCTTCCTCTCTAACCCCCAGAGACACCGTCCTTCCCTGCCTGCCTGCCCTTGCCTGCCTCCCTAGTGCTCGGATGGTCCCTAATCCAAGAGCACCTCCACAGCTCCTCTTCCATCCAACCCCACCACCCACTGAATCCCGCCGAAGGCCGCCTCCTTCCACCGTCATCTTCCTCTGCTTGCCACGCAATCCTCTTTCCTTCCCCCAAACTGTGAAGGCGTGTTCGTCCAAGCGACTGCCTCATATGTTGCTCTGATCATGTCCTAGACATACAACTTGTCCCCCAAACTAGACTCCACGCCTCTCAGTGGCAGTGGCCTTTTCACTTTGTTCTTTTTATCCTGGCAGGACAAACAGTAACTGGACCATCAATTCTTCTTTTCCTATGCAACGTAGTGATTAATCTAACTCAGCTTCCGGCTCTACGTGCGGCCCCTCACCCTCTGGTCTTTCCTTCCCACCAGTTACCTTCTCCCTGAGTCCTTAGGTCAGACAATATTGGGAAATATTTTACAGGCTTGTTAACGGGAACGTGCGCCGAGAGGCTCAGGACCGCTTCCTGAGACCCCAGGTTCTCCGAGGTCCCTAATTTCACTTTTAACCACCTGCCCGTTTCCTTCACAAGCTTCGTCACAGCTTGTGTGTTATGCGTGGTATTGTGTGACTTGCTTGCCTGCTTTGCTCGCTGGACTGTAAGCTGAGGGCAAGGAAGGACTGTGGCTGACCTCCTCCACTCCCTCCCCGCCCCCGCCCCCACGGTAGGTGCTTAATGCCCCTGTTGAATGAGTATTTCAGCGGGTCTTTGCATTCTTGCGTCTCCTATTTAAATAAAACCAACTCTCCTGCTCTTTCAGACGACACAAGATATACAGAGAGCAGGTGAACCTCACTTCCCTGGACCCCCCTGTGCAGCTCCGACTCGAGGCCAGCTGGCTCCAGTTCCACCTGGGAATCAGCCGCCACGGGCTGTACTCCCGGTCCAGTCCTGTCGTCAGCGAACTGCTCCGCGACATGAGGCACTTTCCCACCATCAGTGCTGGTGAGGCCCAGGATCAGGCAGGGACTGAGTGTCCCCCAGCGGCTGGTAAACCAGCCAGGCTCTGGGGTGGAAGCAAAGGGTTGTCTCTGACTCCTGATGGGCAGAAAACAACACACACACACACACCCTCCTCACAACCCACAGCGGAGGCATGAGGAGGGGTTCCATCCACTTTAAGAAACATGATGGCTCCCCTTTAGCGAGAGCTCCCTTTCCGCCCGGCAACCCTCTCGTATCAGTGACCTTATGGCGTGGACCCCTCACTGCCATTTTGCTGATGGGAGAACTGAGACTCAGAGAGGATGCACAACTCGGCCAGGGACCAGGGCTGGAGCGGGGGTTCCGACAGGCCCGCTGTCTCAGGTCTGTGCGGCCAGGCACGACGTGTCTACGTGACAGAGCGGGTGGTTAGCAGAGACAAAACCAGCACCGGTTTCCCAGACAGGCGCTAGGCCTGCCGGTGGAAGGGCCGGCGAGCACGGGGCTGGATGGAGCAGGGCGGGACTACAGCCAACTGGGGCTCCGGGCGATGCCCCTGGCTGCCTCAGTGTCCCCTTTAGTGAGTGAGTCCAGAGCCCCATGTTGTTGGCGCCCCTACACATGGCTGAATGTTCTTCCTGCCCTTCTCCTCACAGATTACAGTCAGGACGAGAAAGCCTTGCTTGGGGCGTGTGACTGCACCCAGAGTAAGTGAGCTGGCCCTGCCGCCCTCCACGTCACAGCCGTCACAGCCGTGTGAACCTGGGACCCCTCTGTGGGGTCCTGGTTGGGACTTGAAGGGGCAGGACTCTGCCTAGGCTGAGAAGCCAGCATTTCTCCCCGCCCACCCACATGACGGAAAAACCCTTTACGAGGGACTGGTGTGTAGGTCCCTGCTGGTCAGTGCGTGATCGGGGACCAGCTTCATCGGGATTGGAATGCCTTTCAGATTTAAGAGGCAATTGTGCAGGACAGTGGTCTCAACCCCAGGAACTTAGTAGAGTCCTCTGGGAGCTCCATACAGGCAGAGGCCCGGGCATCAACATTTTAAAACCGTTCCTAGTGATTCTAACGCAGCCGAGGCCGAGACCCCCTCACCGATGAACAGGATCAGAGAGAGAGGCGTGAGATGCCACACAGGCCCCTCCCAGGGGGTCATGAATTGGGTATAGATGTACCTGGACCCTGCATAGCCCTCAGAGTGGCCAGGCCAGGCCTGGACACCGAAACCCCAGGCAGTCACCGGCCAGGAGCAGCCTCATCCATTCACCTCAATATACCGAACACACATCAGACATTTCCATGTGTGTTGTGACGAGTTAAAGGTTTGAAAGACAGAGGTTTGTGGGGCCCAGGACTTCCCTTTTAACACCTGCCATTTGCCATATTATAGAGCATAGACAGCGTCCAGACCCTACCAGGGCTCACACAGGGTGGGGACAGGGTGGGGTGAGGGCTGTGCCCAGGACTGGACACACGAGGAGGGCGCTCTCACTGGCAGGGTCCTGTGAGTGCATCTTAGGTGCCTTGCTCACCCAGCCCTGTCTCAGCCCTGTTTGGTCTTGACATGGAAGACACATAGATAAACTAGTCCACTAATGCAGGTTAGCAGATGGCATCATCAGAATCTAAAAGCTGCCAATGGAGCAGAACCAGTGGCAGTTCTTAGGGAAACGTTCTTTGGGGTCTGCTGTGTCTGTTGGGGAAACCTATTGTTTGCCCTTTTCCCATAACAGCAGAGAAGGTATTGTCTTGAGCTGCTGGCACCCTCTCCATGGCCTGATGCGATGGAATGTACCCCGCAGGCTTTACAAAGCAAATTCTGGTCCCTAGAGAAGAAATCAGTTGGGTTTATTGAATGAACAAAGGTCCCAGCCCCGACCTTCGTCCCAGAAGCATGGTTAACTCACCCTTGTCCCTCGCAGTTGTGAAGCCCAGTGGGGTCCACCTCAAGCTGGTTCTGAGGTTCTCGGACTTCGGGAAGGCCATGTTCAAACCCATGAGGTAAGTGGTGCCTTCCTCACCTCCACACCCAGCCTTGGCAGCGCTGGGGGTGTTGACCCAAAATTAGTAAAAGTGGCCTAAGGTCTTCAAGCCAGTCATCTGTAGACTGTTCTTTGGGCAATCTGCCCACACTGAACTGTTTTTGGTGATACTTTAAAAAAGAGCTAGACCTTATCAGGACATTGCTAGCATCTGTGCTACACACATTTCATGATTGTCTTTGGGTCATCAATGACCTTATGAGCCAGGAACTGTTCAAGTGCCCACTTTATAGATGACAACACTGAGGCTTGGAGAAGCCAGTTCGCCCCAACCTCCCAGCTGCAGACAGTGGAGCCAGGATTCAAACCCGGGCAGCTGGATTGTTAACACTCTACCACTGTCATTCATACCCACTTGTTTCCAGGGCTAGGACTCTCAAAACAGTTATAGAACTCCACACAATACTTGTTTTGACTGAAAAACTAGGCCATGAAAAAGGCTACTGTGAAGTCAGTATATTCTTAAATCAATTTCACTTCATTTACAAGGCAAATACCTGCCTTTAAGATTTTGCAGAATGTAGGTGAGATACATACCAGTCTAGAGCTTGGTGTACCTATAGATTCCTGGCCCCTGGGGTCTGCAGCCCACAGGTTGGGACTCCTGAAGTTTATGTCCTCCCCCCCCCCCCCCCGCCCCCCCGGGAGGTGACATGTACAGGAGACAGTGGCCCCAGGAGGGAACCCAAGTAGAGGGATTTAGGTTCCAAATGTCCAGTCAATTGAGAGGCCCATGGAGTGAATGGCTCAGTAGATGAGCCTGGGGCAGGGCCTCGTGGAAGGAGCATTGACTACAGAATCTTAGTTCTAGTCCCTGCACTGCTTTGACAAAAGCACCCTTGAAGGAGGGGTTTGCAATAGACCGGCTCCTGGGAATCTCTTGGGGAGCCTTGAAACATCCTGGTGCCCGAGTCCCACGCTCAGAATCCAATGGGATGGTTCCGGGGCTCCCCGGGGACCCCAAGGCCCAGAAAACCTGAGAACCGCGCTAAGGCAATCCCTGTGCGTATACGAAAAGCAAAAGGCCTTTTTCCGTTCCCTGTGGTCATGCTTATCAGCTGTCTCCTCCGGCTCCCCGCTGCAGTCTGGGTCCAGGGCATGATTCCTCCCTTCTTTTCAGACAGCAACGAGAGGAAGAGACGCCCGCCGACTTCTTCTACTTCATTGACTTCCAGAGACACAATGCCGAGATTGCAGCTTTCCACCTGGACAGGTAGGGTCTGGCCCTGCGGAGCTGGCATTGATGGCAGGGGCCAAGCTCAAGAGGGGGCGCTGGGCAGACGCGCAGGGGGGACCTCCCTGGAATGTCTTCCTTCCATGATGCCTTTGGACCCAGCACATCCCACCCAGCCCCCTGGGTTGAAAAACACCAAGATGGTGCAGATAACAGAAATAACTACTTAGAAAACTAACCCTGCCAGGCGGGTCACGCTGCCATCTTGGGCATGACGTTGCCCTTTGCTCTAGTTTCCAGATCTGAAAAAGAAAATACACCACCCCCATTTATCCAGGCAGCCTGCGATAGTGATTTTAAGAGGTGGAAACAAGTTCCTGAACTCCAGGCTCCTATTTGCCCAGTCCCTGTGACCCACGCACAGTGTGGTCTGCGCACTGGCAAGCCAGTTACCGCCCGGGAGCTTTTCAGAAACTCAGAATCTCAGCCTGGACCACCGAATCAGAGCCTGCACAGGGACAAGGTCCCAGGCGACTCATACACACGTGGACATATGAACTCTGACCTAGAACACAGCTTGGATCGGGGAGGGTTAGCCCAGGAGACTTGATGGAATGAGGGTCCCTCTTCCGCCCTTTCTCCCACACCTGCTGAAGTAGGGTTGCCCTGGGCACCGTCAGCTCAGCATTGCAGAGACCCCCGTGGCTGGGTGTGGTCGGGAATGCCAGTCCACTTCTAACGGGCAACCATCTGACTCCCCAACTACCGCTCCAATCTGAACAGGGCTCCCTCCCCTCTTTCAGGATCCTGGACTTCCGACGGGTGCCACCAACAGTGGGGAGGCTAGTCAATGTCACCAAGGAAATCCTAGAGGTCACCAAGAATGAAATCCTGCAGAGTGTTTTCTTTGTCTCTCCAGGTAGAGTCCTGGCCAAAGCCATCTTCTAAGGACACGGTAGGCCAGCGTGGCCACCAGTACATTCAGCAGTGGCCTGTCCAGCCAGTAGTCATGGCCATTACTGGGATGGGTGTATGCGGCCATCCCACACTCCCACTTTGGTCTGCCCGAGCTTCACAAGAGGAACTGGGGGTGGGAAAAGTCATACCTGAGATGCTAACTAGCTTGGGCGGGCACCCAACTACAGTGGGCCTCCCTGGAACCAGGAGTTACCAGACAAAGAACACTCTACTCCTGTGGACAGGATGCAGTTAACTAGCACCCACCATCTGGAAAAGGCAGTATTTCCTCCTGCCGCCTTTCCCCCAGCTATGAGTTCAGGGGTTCCCTTTCCTCCCATGGATCTCTGGGGACAGGAAGATGGTCTGCCTCCCTAACACTTCTCTTACTCTTCCCTTACTCTTCCTCTCCCCCCATCCTCCAGCCAGTAACATGTGCTTCTTCGCCAAGTGTCCATACATGTGCAAGACGGAGTACGCCGTCTGTGGCAACCCCCACCTGCTAGAGGGCTCTCTCTCCGCGTTCCTGCCGTCCCTCAACCTGGCCCCCAGACTGTCTGTGCCCAACCCCTGGATCCGCTCCTACTCGCTGGCCGGAAAAGAGGAGTGAGTTGGGCCCCTGAGAGTGACCACAATCCTACAGGAAGAACTTACGGCTAGCCTGGCTTTTGGACCCCTAAAGGCTATCTCAGCCTTCGTCTCACCTCATATAGATCCTGGGACCAGCTGGCCGGAGTCCATTCTCTCCCTTAGTTCACTTATTCAGTTATAAATAGACTACTGTCTACCCAAATTTAGGCGCTAGGGGATACGGGAATGAAAGACACAGGATCCCCTCCCCCTCAAGAAGCTCCACTGTCTAGCTGGGAGGTTATGGAAATAGCCAGATTCTGAAAACACAGTGCAACACCCACTGTACACAGAGAAGCACACGAAGAGCCCGCATGAGACACGCCTAGTCTGCCTGCGTAAGCCCGTGAAGCCAAGGACCCACTGTGTATCCCTGGGGCTCAGCACATGCCCTAGCACGTAGTAGGCACTCAGTTCATATGAGTGGACTGAATGAACAGGGGCTGAGGAATGTCTGAGAGGAGCTGCAGAAGCAGCAGGGAGGGACGCGGAGCCAGGCGTTCCCCTGCTGCCCGCCATCTCCCCCTGGCACACAGTGCCCTAGCCATCAGTACGGTGCCCAGCACAGCACATGCTCAGGAGACATGTCGTAAAAGGACCCAGAACCTTCTCACCACATGGAATCTGCGCCTCCCATGTCTTTGCTTAGCGCCCGCCTGAATGTACCCAGCTACCAAGAGTGCATACAGGATTAGGGAGGCAGGGGTTTGAGGGGTGGAGAGGTGTGAGGAGGGCCCCCAACACCTTGCCATCTTGGCTTTTCCAGCCCCAGGACTGCTTCTCCCCCTCAGGTGGGAGGTCAATCCTCTGTACTGCGACACAGTGAAGCAGATCTACCCGTACAACAGCAGCGACCGGTTGCTCAACGTCATCGACATGGCCATCTTCGACTTCCTGATC